TCTCATTCGTATTCTTCTATTGTTGTAATTTATTTCATAATTTATAATTGGTTGAATCTAATTTCCACGTACTCTTATAATGGTGCTCTCTGTTTCAAAAACAGACAAAAGAATAAGAAATTTAAGGTACTGTAGAAATAATTGGGATTTAAACCAACTAGAATATGACAACAGCATGGTTCACATAGTCATGAAAATTAAAGAGCATTTTTTTCAGCATTAGTTTCAACATTTTCTCTTATGTTGACCCCGAAGAGATGGAAAATATCAGAAATGTAACTATTGCTAATCAGTGTTACGTCATACCCATGCATAAAGGCAAGGTAGTCATAACACCTATAGGGGAAACAGAAGATAGAGCAAAATTTATGTGAAATATTTAGAGAAAGCTATACTTAAAAGATCTGTGGTCAGTTGTTATGTAGAGTTCATTAATAGGATCTGGAGAACTGAAGTCTCTATTTCACTTTAAATAATTTCTACTAATTTATATTTTCTCTTTATCAGTTGGGATGACCACATCAGTCACAAAGACTGTCTCTGCTGCTTATCAATGATCACAATGTCCAATTGATTGATTATTACCATTTCGTCCATTTGAATCTGGAAGTCCCACAATTATCTTAACTCATTAATTCGCCACCACCTAAGGAGGTGAGTCCCACTTTGACTTTGGGGTCTCCAGTTTGTATTACGTACAGATGTTTCTGTACTCTATACCGACCTCTTGGTTATGACCTTTAATGTTTTTCCTTGACTGCTAGAATCTGACACCCTGCTGAGAGTTACTGGACTGTTTCTGGAGCGTCCTTGGACACCCTGCAGCTGGGATCTTGCCCGATGTGGTACAGCTGGGCCTCTACTGCTCCGGTGCTTGAACCCTGATCCTGTTCTGCCATGATCAGTGCTTCTGTGCTGTCATTCAGTCCGGTCAGTTTCCTTTAGTTCTATTAATTGTTCAGCCTTTCCTGATAGCTGAAGCTCCACAAGCTATTAGAAAAAAAAACAACAACAAACAAACAGAAGCTAATTTTTTTTAAATTCCCCAAGATATTTTGGAAAAGATCAACCAGATATTAAATACAGCATTTAGTGCAATACAACGAATGGCTTTCAATTTCTGTCTGCAACAAGCTATCAAATCACACTGATAATTTGAAAATAGCGGTTGGCAGTAGAAGGGTAGACCAAAATCCAGGCTGAATCTTACCTAAATTGGTGACTGCGGGGCACTGATGAAAGCTTTGAATGAATCTGACAGGTCATCCTGACACAGGATGTTACTGACACAAAACACTTCCAGAATGTCTCATTGGGGAGAAAAGGGATGTTAAATCTCTATCTAGCTCTAAACCATTTTTTTTTCAATTATAATATTAGAAAATCACATTGCACACAAAGTTGCACATACAAAATCATCCAGTGAAAAAAAATGCTTCAAAAGGGCGACTAGAAAAAAAATGTAGCTCTACTTCAAACTTGCAATTGCAATTAGAACAAATCACAAAAGTTTGAAAAGCTCTTGGTGTGGAGAAGCCATTGCCATGTCAGGAAACTCATGTCAGATACTGCATTGAAACAAAAGCAAACAAAGTAAATTAGTTTTCATCAATGCTTTTGTTTCTTATCTTGTTTTCTTAGTCTTTGAAGGTAATAGGCCTGTCGTTGCTCTAATAATGATGAATCTCTCCTGCCTAGGTTGAAAGGGAACAGAGATGAAAGTGAAATATGAATGTACCAGGTTTGCCTTCTGTTTTAAAGACACTTAAATCTAAGTGTTTAACTGCAAAGAGTTTGGCCTTGGCAATGTAAAAAAAAAAAAAAAAGAAAGAAAATCAAACTGTCACAACTCTTTGAAATAGACATTTTTCATTAGTTACTCATCGGTTGCACCTTGACAGAAGCTGAATAACAACAACAACAACAACAAAAAAAAAAACACACAGTCCGTTCACATTTTCCAGGCTCATCTTCAAACACATTCACCTCCAACTCGTGATGGTAAGGATTTTAGAAAAAAAAACAAAAACAAATCATGCCTCCTCCTCACCTCCATGCCACAACACTTAATTAAACCTCTGCCATTATAATACCTTCTGGGTAATGCACTGCATAGTGCAATTATTCCTGCCTGACAATATTGCAGCTCATTTAGGCTTCTTATCAAAGGTAAGAAATTATTCATCCATGTGGAAGCAGCAGAGGTGGAAAAAACTCAAAATGAATTTCATAACTGTATGATATCCACAACCAGCACTCCAAGACATGGTTTGACTTGACTCTGACAATAAATTCACCCCTCGCCTGCTGCAGTGACTTGTCAGTAGTTGGTGGTTTATGTCTCAAGAAGAAATGAACAGTCTTTGAGAGTCAAATTGTGTGTGTGATTTTATCAGTAAAGCAATGGGGCAGGGCAAGACGACAGCAAAGGTGAAAGAAAAGAGTTCCAGACCCTCTTAGAGTGCATCTTTGTAAAGTTTAGAATTATTTAAAATGTACTTTTTATCTTTGTCTGTGCAGAAATTATTCAAAAGAAAAATCATAGTTATTAAAAACAAACAAATAATAATAATAAAAACAATCCTTTAACTAGTGATTATCAATATATGCATGCAATTACAAAGCTGACATAATACAGGGTATTAATTCTGGATTTAAATGTTTGTGTTTTATTTGTCTTTTGAATGTAAAAGTGATTTATCACAACCTTACACAGAAAATAGATCTCATAAGAGAACATTGGTGTTCTTAACAAACTCATGCCACACCTTTTAGTTATCCACGCTTACAAATCTTTTGGACTTTTTATATTTTTGTGACAATTATGCACTACCTAATTGGTCTAAAACATAACATCTCAATAAAATACTGACATTTGTGAGTGTAATCTTTTTTTTTTTTTGGACTTCTACATTTATGCTCTTTCATGTCCCCTCTAACTGTCACTAACATATTTACTTCAGTGTGTTGTCCTTTGCCTAGTCTATTTTTCCGTTGCCTGATCTGTTTTTCTTAAAATTTCAAGTTCCTGTTCTGCAGAGCTTCAATTATCAGTTCATAAAATCAAAGCAGATCTTCTTTTGGCTGCTTTCTCTTTTTTTTTTTTTGTTTGTTTCATTTTGTTTTTCTTCTTTCAAACCCTGCTGCGGTGCAGTGACCCGGAACGTATGCAGTCAACCTATATACAGTGAGCTTTGAGTGAACAGATTCCATCTGCAGGAGCAGTCTGCTGTGTTTGGGTCCTCTGAGCTCTGCCATGTCTACCCACCCACTGCTTTCACCATGTTTCACACGTTACATGCTGAACTGGAGTTCAACTCCCTCAATTGGCCCTCCGGCTGTCTGTCGGGATGATGCCGGATATCCTTGGGGCTTGACCTTCCTGGAAGGCAGAGAACTGTCAAGTCTAGTTATGTTGTAGCGCTACTGCATCAGTGTACAACACATTCCAGAGTGTGCTGACTGTTGCAGTACCTACCTCGCTCCTCAGGCCCTGGTGTCATTAACAGGCATCAGATCAGAACTTTTAAAGCAGCTATTTTAAAGACGTTCTTACTGTTTTGTAATATTTTGCTCCTGTGCTCCGAGGCATTTGAGGAATCATTGACCAAACCTTGTAAAACTTTCTCATTCAATTGCCCTCCACAGGTCAGTGAATCGGAGAAGCAGAACACCTCAGGCTGAGTCAATAGAAACTGCTAAATTATGGTAACTAAGTAACTGTTTATGAAATCCTGTTCTCAATAGTCAGCAGGAAACACACACCCATTCCCTGAAATGTTAACTCTGGTATGCAGCCAGCTGAATGAAATTAACAGGTCCACAAGCAACGGTTCTCCTTAATTTGGCTGATTTTTAACTGCCATAGGATGAGAAAGGTAGCTACTGCTACTGAAGGTGGTGTGTTGGTGTGCTTGGAGCCTTATGCCGTGAGCATGGACCGTGGCCATGCTTTGTGAATGAATGGCTGTGCTCTTGGAGGGTAATTGGGATCCAGAAGAAAAGGGGAAACAGTCCACATTATTAAAAGTTGTGGTAGAGAGAAGATCAGACAGGACTTAGACAAGTTACTTTGTGATGTTATGTTACAATAAAAGTTTATAAGAATGGTGGGTAAGCAGCACCCTTAAAGTTTGTGTTGTTTGTTTCTTGGTCCCTATAGTACATTTCACATTTCAGAGATTGTTGTGGTTTAAATTTTGACAAAGTAGCCAATAGACCAAAGAGGAGCCCAGATGCTCAGTAACTGACTTCATGGTTGTCTGAGACCTTTTTGGTATATAGCATCAATATTTCAGCAAGACTTTTTTCTCAAGGGCAACCACAATTAAAACTGACAGGTGAAATAAATACCACATCATTCCCATACATGCACACAACTGCAGCATAATCTAGAGCATAGCAATTAACCAGAGAACAAAGTATAACCTTTGCAACCTCAAGGTTGCAGACCCACATTTGGCATGCAGTCCCACAACTTTGCACTTTGCCCAACCCTTCTCTTGACCCACACAACTATATTCTAGTAGCACCCATGCTGCTACTCCAGGCATCCATTGCCATTTTTATCATGCATCTGTCTCTCCCAAGACCCATTAGAGCTCTATGTGCTTGTAGGAATATGCAGAAATTTGTTTGTGCAGGTAAAAGAAAAAAAAAGGTATTTTTTTTGTTTACAGCTTTCCTCTGGGCTCGTTTAAAAAAGATTTCCAGCTTCAATCTAATCTCCATCTAAAGCTGCAAGGGTGGCTACCCGCCTGAATAATTTTGCTTAGCTGCAGTGCCCGTATAGCTGAAAGGGAACTTTCATTGTTTTATTACAGATCAGACAATCTGGGCCCACATTCTCTGCTTCTTGTAATAGCTTGTCCTTGGGTATTTTTTATTTTATGGGAGCTTATTTCAGTCATTCATACAAGACCACAGAGATGATATTACGAATCAGGTTGGAGGAACGACCAAATATTACTTGTGCAATAATACTATTAATTTATTGTCTTCATTTCAGCAACCAAATTGGATAAAACAGACAACGTGCATGGCTGGAATTACAATGTAATACGCAGTAGGGTAAGTATTCATTTTTAGCAAATGCATCATGCATCCAAATGCAATCAGCTTATTCATCAGTAAGAGATATAAAGTCTACCAGTGTCTAAAGGTTCCCATTTTTTTGCTGTACAGGTAGCATTCTTCTTGTCAGGTCTTCCCGTCTCTCCTTCTCCAAAAATCAGATTGTCAAAGGCGACATACCGCCCTGCAGAGGTGGGTGAAAACTTAAGACGTGTGGGAGTAAGCAGGCCCAGGAGGAGTAGAGCAAAGGTTGCTTGAGAATGCCACTCAGGTTTTCAATTGGTGCAAGCAGGGCCCTCTCTGGGATGACAGAGTGTCTGGCCGATCTGACAGGAAAGGAAACCCAAATGTGGGAAGGGCTGGTTGCCACAGTGCTGAGCGAGGACGCAAGTGATGGATGGAGGTTGTTAGATCCAGTAATTGTGTTCAGGTAATTGACCCTCACCCCCTAACCCGCTCGCTCCCTCTTCTCTAGGTGAGCCAAGCTCTCCATCTCTCTCGCACTTCTGCCACACATGTGGGAGAAAACGTCAGCAAAGACTTGGCAAGCTGCTTGTTTAGGAGTTTCAAGCTTGTACTTATGCTCGCCGCTGCTTCCTATTAATTTAGCTCATTTAATTGTCGTGTCCAGTGTTGTACTAGAAACTCTTATTCTTGTTGATCCAACATCAACAATTTGATGTTTTGCACCACACCGAAAGATAAAGGTGCCAGTATCGAATGACATGAGAAATAAAATAAAAAGAAACATTTTATGGTGAGTAGACAACATTTTCCCCTCTATCCTTACTATTACTGCTTCATACCAAAATGGTTGTAGGTTTCAGTCTCAACTGGGGAGCTCTTCCAGTCAAGACTCTTCTCGAGCTTTTCCAAAAAAAAAAAAAAATTGTCAACAAGCGCTTGTCAGGATCTGTGTTTGTATCTGTGTTTGTTTGTTGTGTAGGTGAGTGGTTTTTCATAGTTGAAGATGCCACTGAATACGTGCAGATAAATATGTCGCAAAACAAACAGAATATTAGTTGCTTTTTTAAATAAATGAAATGAAGAATATGATAATAAACAACATGCAAAATATTTACAAAACAACCAAAATAATGTGGTGACATTTTTAGGTTCACTACAATTGATTATGGGAAACCCAGCATTTAGCCCACATATGCTAAAAATGTTATGATCAATAAAACATGCATTAGAATACTTTTGCCAACATGATTATTATTATAGATCAGTCAAAAATGCATCACATCCTCACCGTAAGTGAAAAATTCAATCTCAAGTGTCAAGGAAGCAGTGGCGAAAACAGAGAAGGGCTGTTAAGGCTAGATATGGAGAAGATGATGATATACTTCCATCTTCATGCCTCAGCAGGTTATGGCTGCATTCATCACTGGTCCCAGCTCCTGCGCTTAAAATCAGCCGGGTATAGCTCAATCTACAACCCCTGATTTACACTGAGGTCTGCAGCAGGCTGACACGTTTTTAAACAGAGCTGAGCAATGTAAATCATAGCCCCAGTGAGTGTTAAGCTGATGGGTCCATGCTAATAAATTAGAGGGGAGAGAGGCACTTCTGTCTGCAAATAAACATTTGAGTCAATGCATATTTAACTACTTGAGAGCGAGGACAACTTGATGAAGTAGTTCATGCAATACTCAGAACAGGTTTGGTGCCCTTGGTGTTGCTATTATGCTTCTACTACAATTAGCAATAACATTATGACAGTGTGTTGTTTCCCTTTTTGGTGTCAAAGCAACCCTTACCAGTTGAGGGATGGATTCTTTTAGTCCCTGGAGGTGTATTATAATAGTGATGCTAAGATGTAAGCAGTACATCTTAGCATCTTAGCCTTTGTTAGTTGTATTCCTCAAAGCATTCCTGAATTACAATTGTTTGTGGCAATATATATTACTTTGCTACATGCCACAGCTGTCAGGGATGTAATTTTCCTAAAATATGTATGTGGTCTCAACCTATCTTAGTCACATGGAGCATAACTGTGTCATGTGTTTCCCAGCTGGCCAGAACGTTTATTTGTAAAAAATGTGATTAAATTTACTCTTTCAATGCAATTAAAATTACACACTAAAATCTACGTATATAAGACATATATATATATATATATATATATATATATATATATATATATATATATATATATATATATATATATATATATCATCCTCTCATTTCTTTATCCAAGGTTACTGCAGGTCCCTATGCAGTGGAGTAATGACCATACAAGCAATGTCACACCATTTTCCACCATTTTCTTCAACACAATTTCCATTTCATACTTTTCCAATAAGGTTATATTAAAGAAGCAACTTAAAACTTCTCAATTGAAATTCATTGAAGCATTCTTGCACTCTCATGCAAGCCCTTTCTACTACACTCACAACCCTCAAATAGAATCTGTGCCCCGGCAGCACATCTTTATGCCATTTCAAGTGTATTAAATAGAGATGAGGGCTTTATTGTATGTCCTGTAATGATAATTTGGGCTAGCAGTTTATGACAGTTTATCCAGGCAGGCTGCCACATCACACTTCCAACTGTCTGACATTGCTATGACTCTATTAGCTGAAGAGTTGGAAGTAAATGATGGAAGGACAGTGCTTGGCAGTGTCAAAGCCCGTTCATATCATCTGGCCTCTATCGATTTAGTAAAGGATGAAGTAAGGGAAAGGCAGCCCAGGTGCATTTTGTCTAACCAACCCTCACTTTGTCTTTTAAACACTGGCACATTGTGATTTAGAGAGCCATTTATTCCCAGCACCACTACCGGTCAAGGGAGTGAGGCAAGGCAGGTGCACTAGCATGTCGCTGCAGCACAAGGTCAAAGATCTGGTCAGATACGCAATTATTATGTAGATTAGTATTAATATTACATGCAGAAGGACATTGATATAGGTCTCTCCCACATAGTATAGCAATAATGACAGATTAGGTAGGACAGATAGGTATTTTTAGAAAACAAGACATCACAACATTTAACAGGTGTTTTCTTTTTATTTTGTATGAAACCAGAGGTGTCTCAGGATCATGGTGTACAATAAATTAGCACACTGTATTTTCCTTCCCTGGAGCACAGAATGAAGAACAAAATAGTTTGTAACCCACCACCAACAAAAACAAACAACAAAACATGCACAAAGACCATACCATGACAACATTTTCAGTTTGTTGGTTTGTCATTTTGATGTTTGAAGTGAGACAAATATAATCTTGTTCCCACAATGGAGAGGCCAAGTATTTACAGAAAGTTCTTATTGTACTCTTTAAATTAAAATCAATTTCAAACCAATCTAAAATGATAAATGATTATTTATTATTATTATTATTATTATTATTATTATTATTGTTATTAATAATAATAATAATTTTCAGACAAACTGAATTTTGGGTTTTCTTTAAGCCACAAATCAATAAAAAAAAAAAATGCAAAAAATAAAAGTTTGAGACATTTTACTCTTTGTGATGAATTTCTATAAAATAACAGTTTCACTTTTTGAGATGACTGACGAGAAATATTGCACAGCATTATTCTAATTTTCTGAGATGAACTAGCCAAAAACCATGCCACAGGATTTACGTTGAAGTGTAAGTTCGTCTTTTAGGAAAATCTACTACTTTAACAGAGGATATGTAATTGACAACAGAGAAAATCTTTTCTTGTTATGCGTAAAAAAAAAAGGAAGACAGAAATGTCAATGTATAAACTAAACTAATTAAAAACTGGATACCATTATTCTCTGGTAAGTAGTCATAATTAAGCGCTGAACGCTCTTTCAGTTACACTCAGAACTACTCCTCAACATAAAAGCTGTATTTCGAAAGCATACAAAATGCTGGAACGTTTTACCTCCATTTGACTGCACTCTAAATTTTGACCTCTAGAATAAGAGATTAAATCGAGTGTCATGTTTTCGGTGCGGTTTGGGACCAAAACACACACAGACAGAATCATAGTACGGTGAAATATTAATGAAAAAAAATGTGAAATTTTTGGGGCTGCCACTAAGAGCAGGATGTACTTGGTGTAAAAGAATCCAGGCGGTATGGAGAATTATTAATTATACAAAATGTATGTCAGACTAATAAAGTTGAATGTTCTGAAGGGAGAAAGTGGTTCTAATGGATAAATTCTAAAACGATAAATCGACGAACAGAGATAACCGCAGTAAAACTGAGTTTAAAACTGCAAAACCAAGACAATGAACATTCAGGAAAAACACTGGGAAAACAATGAAAGAACACTGCAGTAATCTACAGCTGAGTTTACATGTTTGGGAGTAGGGCCTAGTCTCAACCATGCCTCTAATTACCAAGTGGCCTATTAATACTCAGATAATCCATCCTGCGGAGTTTACAGTGTTGTGTCAGCAGACAGACCATGTTCAAGCTTCGTTCACAAACTAAAACTGTATTCAACTCTTTCAGGTTAATACTCAGTACAGGTGATGCTCACACATTCCAGCTCAGTATCTCACTAAGATGACGACCTGTTTGACATTAATCCAGCCGGAGCTGAAACATCTCCATTCCATGTTTCCAGGTAAGTCTCTCCTAGTAACTGCCTGTATTTTATGACTCTTTTTCTTCACTTTTAGTCATCCAAGAATATATCTCCAGTGCAGTCAGAAGCTGCTCAGTACCTGCTGCCATCATTCACTCAGATGCAAAAACCAATTATTTTGCTCACCTCAAGACTCCAGTCCTCCACCAAGACTCACTAGCAATACACAGCTCAATACGCATTTCAGTCCCTTATCTTCGCTAAACATTTACGTTCAGATTATTGTGGTCTGATCCATGCAAGTGAATTCAATGAAGATATACATAGATTATCAGATATTTACTCAATTTTACTAGCAAAACTTGGGTAAATGCGTGGTGGAGAGGAATCGCCACATAGCGCTGCATCTCCTGCAAGCTCTCAGTCTTAAGTACTCCTACTTAAACCGTTGTTGCATTAACAGAGTGAGAGCAGGGAGACCAAAGGTTATGATTGTTTATATTTGGGTTAAATCCTAAATCCCATCATCCAGTTGAGGCTAAAGGTGATTTTCTAATGTTTTCTTTCTGAGACACTTGACTTCTTCTGATCTTTACTGCCCTGAATGATCCTCAGTTGATCCCACCGAGGGGCTCAAAAGGGCAGCTCACACATGGGAAACGTTGTATATAGTTTAACATATAAACATTGTGTGTAGTGGGAAGTGGACAATAAAAATGTGTTGACAATAAATACTGCAACTAAATGACCTATAAAAACCTCATTGTTTAAAACTTTTTTTATATAGACTACTATGTAAAGTTGTTGCTCCATGTCCTTTTAAGGTAAATTAAAGTGAGGTAATTTCTTTAACTAGCATGTCTCTTTAGGTAAAATGCAGGGTCCGTACTTTCAGCAGCATTTTTGTTTCTAAATTTCTAAGTAACATAAAAGCACGTAACTTAGTACATATATATATAATGTGAGGCAGGCAAAAACGAAGAAGGAATTTTGATTCTTCTGAAATCACTTTCTAAGAAAGCAGAAAGGCAATAAGCCGAATGCTGCCATCATCAAAGGAGGAAAAGGGCAAAAAATATTTTATCAGACAAGTTTAGGATTAAAGCAAGGAAGGGATTTTCAAAGCCTTTTAAAGCATTGCTGTTTAGATTGCACATATTTTTGTTCAGCTATGACACACTATAAAGTAAATTTGTTTAGTGTTTGAACAGATGACCCATTTTGGAGTGTATATAAGTTTTGTGTTTCTTTTTATGAATACAGCTAATGTAGTTTAAACTTAGACTAGAGAATACTTTATATGCTGTAAATTTAGAATTACATACATTTAGGTTTGGTTTGCTCTATGAATCTCCATTTATAAGTGCCAAAAGCAAATATTAGAATGTTAGTAATTAAGAGCTAAAAAAGCTATGCCACAAAAAACTTCTCTCCCAATTTCTTAACAAAATGCTACAGCTTCCAGTTGAAACACTTTAATCACAAAACTTTTTAGCTCTGCTAGTACCATTCAAATGATCCACACCACAAATCTGACATTAAATGCACAAAAACACCCACAACAGATTTAACCACAACACTTCTTAATTAAAAAAGTCAAAGCCCTCAAATTAAAATGGGTTGGACTGCGTTTACCTTAACCGTATGTTTAAAATCGAGAATTGAACCGAAGAACTTCACCCACGTTACCTGCTTGTGGTGGTCAGAGAACTCAGTGGCGGCGATTGCATTGGAGCCTCTTTTCTGTCAATTTGCAGCTGCGGCTTTAGACTACTGCCATCTCTGTGTATGAATGATTTTGCAGTTCTTTATAACGCACTATACAAGTTCAGATGCAAAAGTATGTTGAAAGTTTTGTTCTTTGCCTTCTCCAAACCCTATTATTTTCCTTTCAGTGTAAAAAAAAGACCTAATTCATTATTCAAATAAGCTGTTAAATTGCTAAAGCCACTGATTCATTCACTCAAACCCATCGTGCATCTTACAAACTAAGCGATCTCAGTTAACAAGGGAGTCCCAAATTGTAGTAAATGTAGAAGGCGTTTGTTCAGTTCTTTTTTTAACGAACTGAATCAAAAACTCTCTTTTCTCCTCACCAGGAATACAAATCCTAGAGGGGGAGAGAATGCAGCATTAAGCAAAAGCAAGCCAACCAGTTAGGGCTCTGGCAAGCTCACTGAGCATCACTTAGCTCAGCCTGTCGCAGTATTATCAGGACCCACACACGCTGGTTAGGCACTACACCTGATGTTGCCAGCTGTGCCAACACTGGTCTCGATTCTGCCAGCCAGTTCTAGTTTCCCGTGCTACTTCACAGGACAGCTGCACACTGAGAAATCGGTTTGATACCACCAGCGTGACAGTGAGACAGATAAGAAGGAAGAGGATTTGCGGGGTCTTGCTTGCTGTTCTTGCTAGGCAGGGTGGTGAATACTTGTTTGTTTATGTCTTCTGTGAAAATGCTGTGTGTGTCATTGGCAAAAAGCCTGCCAGACAGATCAATGATGAGGAGTTACTGCTGCAGCCGTGCTCGACATGCTCTGATTTGATTTGCCTGCTGTGCTCGGATGAGGTTAACACATTGATTTCTATGATCTTGAACTTGAACACAATTTACTGTGTGGATCAGAGCAGTTATTTATTTATTCAGATATATTAACAATATATTAAAAATGCATGCTAACTATGAATTTTTCAAAGGTTATTAGAAATCAAGCCATTTCCTTAATCATAAGTTCTTTATTTTGGAAAAAGAAAAAAAAAAAAAAACGGCAAACATGTTGTCAAAGTTATTCCTCTTATCTTTCATCATTCCCTAGAATTACCTGCATGCAAACTAGCACCAACCTTTGCTCAGTTACATAGATTTTACTTTCAAGTCTTTTGTAAATTCTGTCAAATATTTGTGGCTCCACCTAAAAAAAAATATCTGAGACACTGTTACAATAATAAATGTAAATAAACCACATAATTACATTTGAACAACAGGTGCAGTCATCAGTTTTTAAGATTCAGAGATCAAAGCGTGTCTTAACCCTGAATACGTCCATTCAGGACCTAGGCTTTTACTGCAGGTCTGATAACTCCAAAGGTTTAATAACCTGGAGTGATTTCCTCTCAGGTGAATGTGCTTGTTCTGACAGGTGCTCAATAATAGAGAGGGAATTCAGAGGAAATGGGGATACAAGCCTGAGCCATTGTAAGCAGGTACATGGAACACAATAGGATTAGGGAGTAGATTGATCCTGGCTTTATGTGCTGCCGTTTAGCCAGATTACCAGAGCCACCATTTTATTGTGTGGAAATTGGACAGAAATTTGTTTTCACTTTGCCAGCCATTTGAATTGCATTTGGTCATGCCAGTTGAGTGTGTGTGTGTGTGACTTTGTATTTGATACATTGTGAGGCTCATTTTTCAAACAAATAGGACGTTGTGGAGACCAACTGCTCCTTAACAAGCCCAAAGAGCAAGACAGACACAGAAGAGGCAAAGAGAACAGAAATGTTGTACGTTAAACAAGACAAGCCAGTTTTTTCAAGATGACTAACCAAAGACATAAAAACAACCATATTCATCTGAAACCCTGACATTACATACTAACCTGGTTAGTATGTGGTAACCTGGGCATGCAATCTAACTCAAACTTGGATTACCTCAAACAACTTAGAGCAGTGCAGATATAGCAGTGTGTGCTGTTTTCAATTAGTTCATTGAAATCTAGTGCTAGTTTGGGATATTTAATATATTGAGCCACATTTAATTTTTTTAATAAGCCACTGTTTTTCTGCTTGGAGAAGATTATCTTGTGCACAACCATTTAAGGCATAAACACAAAGCATAAAAAGCTGGATTCCTGATTACATTTGTTACGATTTTCTTTTCCTTGATCAAGTAGAATTATGTGACATACTCTCTGTTAATTTCCCATCTGTTTAGGCTCTCCTTGACTGCCTGATTTGATATGCCTGGCAGAGATCGACATACCTATTGGGCATGCAGCACAACATGTTTTTAATCAATGAGGAATATATCCAATGTACCATGAGGCTAAGCAGTGACATTGGGCAAACCTTCCAAATCTAAATTTGTACAAAAGCCAATAGCCTTGCTGGTAACCAAGTGCCAGCAAGATAAACATCTTGCAATTATTAAAAGATAAACAGTATTTCAAAAGAGCTTATGTTTTATAAACAATAATTAATTTGGTGTTAAGAGATGAGTGTTTTTGGTAACACTTTATTTGAAGGGGAGGGGAATAAGACTGACATGACACTGTCATAAACATGACATAACACCTGTCATGAACATCAATAAGTCTTCATGAATAGTTATGACTGTTGTCATAAAGTGTCATTCGGTAAATCAAGACACTTTTAATACAAAGTTGACATTATTGAAAATGTCTTTCTTATGACAACTTGACATTAATCTAGACAAAATTTCTTCGTTATGACAACTTGTCATTAACCAAGATATCATGATCCGACATAAATTTGTTATAAAAGTATTACCGATTAAACTTTAAAAATTAGCTTTATGTAGTAATATTATAAAGCTCTGTCATGTTGTTTAGTCTTAATTTTCTTAATTTAATCGATCCTAAAGTTTTACAGCAAAATGTCTACAAAGGACTTATGAACTTAGCATTTGAAACATTATTTAAGGCTGTTTTAACCCTTATGCGTGCGAGGACTGAGGCAAACGTAGAGAACTGTGGCAAATGATAAAAGTTTTACGTGTGTGGGGTCGGTTGGTATGGACCCCATTTCTAAACACAAGGGCTAAGTAGTG